TCTTTTCCAACCTAAACGATTCTATGATTCTGTGATTCCCCCACACAGAGGGACCAAGCATGTTCTCCTCGCACAGCCATCACTGGTGGCTATTATCATCTCCTGCAAGGCAGGGCTGCAGCACAGCATTCTGGTCTGCCTCTCTTCTCAGAGAGGCGTAACGAGGACAAGCGCTATGAAAAGGATCGGGCCAGAGAGCACTGGGAGAACCCCAAGCAAAGCAGAGGTGGGAACATCACCAGATCTAACCCGTAACGACTGCTCTGCAGGTAGGGAGGCTGCCTGCCAGAGGGGTAGAGGAGGAACTCCAGGCTGAGCCTGTGAAGAACATGGGCCCAATGCTATAAAATTTTTACCAAAAATATCAGAGAAATTCAGAGCGATTCAAATAAGACACTGCCAGCATGAAAGTTGATGTTTCTAAGTACGGCAGTGCCCAAGCCAGGCAGCAGTACAGCCACAGGGTAAGGATGAGTCTCAGTGGTATTTTATGAGAAAAGCATGGATTGATGTTTCCTAAATTTTGCGGTTCCAGAGTGTCTTTAAAGGCACTTGAGAGCCAGGCTGATTGTGGTGTAATATTCAGGCTGTCCAGCAGCACATTCCATTACAAAAGCATTTGAAAGTGAGGTTGTTGCTCTATGTGAGATTATTTGGGGGATTTTCAAGGCCATTGATTTACACTGGCCCCTGGCACGACAGGTGACACTGTCAGCTCTTCTTTTGCATTTTTCCTTCCTCTGGTGGAACTCTCTTGCAAAGACTTGGGTTGATGGTTGGACTGATGATCTTGGAGATCCTTTCCAACCTTAATGATTTCTAGTTTTTACTTTCATTAAAAAATAATCCAGCCACCAAGCCAGGAAACATGAAATTTCTACTCTGCCCTTAATTGGTTTAGTGGTGGACTTGGTAGCGTTAGGTTAATGGTTGGACTGGATGATGTTAAAGGTCTTTTCCAACCTAAACGATTCTAGGGTTCTATGAATCTATGACTGCATGACATGCTTCAGCGACAAGGTATCTCCAAACGCCTACATACAAGAGACAGCCCCAGCCTCAACCTGCCAGGAGTGGGTAAGGAAACACTGAATCTGGTATTTCAAAAGGCCCAGAGTCACACAGTGACTTTTGAGAGCCCCTTTCCCAAACTGCAGGCTCTAACAGCACTTTTGGGTGCCACCTGCAATGGCTGGAACATCACCGTGGTGGTGGTGCCCATCATTGAGATGTCAGTCCTCCCACAGGCTGTCCAAAAAGAGAGTACTGGGAGTATTTTGAGTGTGGTATTTCCATACAAATTAGATCACTAACACAGTTTCTGCTTGAGCTGAAGCTAATAAATAACAGAAAACAAGGTTAATGCACAGCAGGAGGCCTGCCTTCTAGGAAATGCTTTTTCTAATCTCTGTTCAATACGGGGATTCACGGTTTTACTCTCCATTATAATGAATTTTGTTATACACAAAATGTAGTTCCCTTCAAGTCCATTATAGTTAATGAAAATATTTTGGTTTGCTTGGTTTTAATAGCATTCTGTCTTTAAAAAGAAAGAATAATAATAGCAAATACCAGGATGGAGTTTTCTCATTTTCTCCCACCACTTAACCCAAGCAAACCAACAAGGGTTCGGATCACTGCAGCAAGGGAAGCAACACCATAAGCGTCCCCCTCTGACTCCCAGAGATAAGGTCATTACCCGAGCAGATAACCCCAGCCCCCCGAGCACACCTGGAGTCACGCCTCAGCCCTGAGGTTGCATTTCTGCAGCTTCCTTACGTGAACTCAAAATCACATTTGAAAATTAAAGCAGCAAAGAAAAAAGCTGGCTCAGTAAAAGCTTTCTGATGTGGAAGTGTATTGGATGTAAAGCTAAGAGGTGCCAACAAAAGCCATCAGTGATGAGGCAACCCGAAGCAAGCACCAATTTCTGCAAAGTGGGGAGCAATGACGTTATCGTCTTTGCTTCCACTGCGCAGAATAAGGACAGAGCATTAAGCCATAGTGCCCAACCCCTTTCCCCAGTCATCTGAAACACAGTGACTGCTGACTCAGCAGTAGAGGCCCTGGTCTTGCCCAAAATCTGAGCAGCAGCAAGGGGTTGGGGGTCCGTGCCGCAGGCAGAGCCGTGCTCCAGTCCCAAGGCATGCAATGTTGGAGCAGCCTGGGCACTAACACGCTCTGCCTGGAGTGAAGTGTTATCAAATCCCTCCATTTTAAGGAGATAAGAAGTCCTCTGTTCTGAAGATTAAAGATAGACTCAGATTTCCAGCTAGCCCCTTCTCACGGCTAAAACCCCATCCTTACTTCACCAACAGTGGGTGTTTGTCCCAGCAGGCAGGAGGGCTGGTGACCATAACTAGCCGCTCTGGGCTGGTTGAACACAGCTGATGACTTACAGATGCACCAAAGCGTGGTTCTCCCCTCCCCTAAACAGCCATTAACTACTAACTTCTCTTTCCAGATTAGCATTTTTTGGGGGTCAAGTAATTTCTGCTTGTTGTTACTAAAGGCGGACCTTGGAGACACCAGCTCCTTGCACAGCGCTGCCCTTAGTCATTTAAATACCACCTGCTCCTCTCAAAGCAGGGAGCGCCCGTGAATATTGGTCTCATCTGATGCCAGCCAGCCTGATCTCTTTTATTGTTGTTGACGTGCTGATCTGAGCTCAAAGCAAATAAATTGTCTTACAGATAACGCACTCTGACACAGGCTGCAAACACAGCTGGTTCATCCCTGCTGTGCAGGTTATGGTCTTTCTCTTTCCAAAATAAATATTTTCTGAGAGCACGTGTAACGTCCCACAAGAGACAACAGGCATTCTGGATAGATGCTGAGCAGCACTGCCGAGCCTCCAGAAAGCACCGGGGGAGCGGTGAGCCCCGGCAGCATCCCTCTGCCCCCACAGCTGCCTTCTGACCACGCGTGGTTCCCACACTGGTGAGGACTCAGCCCATGTCCAACCTGTGTCCAGGGCTTCGGCAGGGGCTGTGGGCAACCTTAATGCTTGTGTCTCAAAAAGAGAAGCAGTAAGGGAGGGGAAGATCTGAGGGTCTCACTGATACCTGGACCTGATATTTGGGTGCCTGTATCCCAAAGCCCTTCCTGAGCCGTTCCCTACTTCAGACTCTGATGGGAGTTACGAGCCCAAAATACTGAAAATATCTTGATGCCAGCCGAAAAGAGGCAGCCTTGGCTGCCCTGAAGCGTGGGCTTGTGCCACAGGGGAGGGAAGCAAGCAAAGCAAGAGCAAAGCAAGAACTGGTCCCCTACTCACCAGTAAGAGAAATACAACCCTTAAATAAATGTCAGCCTGATTTAATTTCCAGCTGAGCTAGAGGAGTACGGGGAGTAGACAAAAATCCTAAACTTCATCTAAAGCCAAGAGACAGAAAAGCTGAAAGGATTACTCGTATCGCTTACACATCTTTCTTGTTGAGGAGGCTTACAAGCGGGAGCAGCAATCACCAGCATCCGAGTACGCGTAAGGAATAATGGGGGCTCAGTGCTGTCCCTGCGGTGGGGACAGCGAGCGGTGGTCATAAGGTGGGTTTAAATTAAACGCTAGCATGTGGCTGGTTACCTCTCGGACAATAGACATCCGGAGCCCATCGGTTGCATTCATAATTATCTGCTGCCTTTTCACAGGTGAAACACTTAAATCCATGAGGATACGGTGTGGCTGAAAGGAACAGACAATATTCAGTTAACATGAGCCAATTAATCCGGTTCTACTATGCTTTTCAGAGGCACACAGCAACGTTTGTTCTCTTTAGACATATCTTTCTACAAGTATGCCCGTCAACTTCATCAAGTGCGTCCCCATTTGTAAAAATCCTATCACCGATAGCAATGCGGGAAAGGCACATACAGATACAATAAGGACTCAGTTCAACCGTGTTTACCTAGCAAAAGTGCCCACTGCTGACTTCAAAGGGAGCTAATGTGAGCAAGGAGTACTTATTCTCTTGGTATCAGAGCTCACATCCAATACTACTGCTTTATCAGTGCTGATAACAAAATATCAGATGGATTAAAATACTTCTGGAAACTGTCCCACCGAGGAAACGAGGTACCCCTTTTGAAGGCAGGCTGATGTCCCCAAAGGAAAGAAAAATCAGCTTGCTGAACCTCCAGTTTTTAACAGCAGACTCTGTCCTAATTTATCTCGCCAAACGAAGAGCGTAACTCCTTAAGTGGTCTCCTGGCAGGGCTTCTGTAGCACATTCAATACATCTTCAGGATGCTGCCACCTTCTCAGAAGCCAGACGGTAAACAAGCCACTTTTATCTCCACGGGGCAAAGTAAGCTGAACCTCCGCAGCCCCACATCTCACCTCTCCCTCCTCCTCACCTCCTCCCCTGGCCCACCGGCTCTGGGCCAGGCCCCGTTGGGGTACGAGCGGTGAAGCAAGAGGCATTCACTGCTTGTTTGCCCAGGCTCCTCTGGGTAAGGGCCAGCAAGTCACCTGGGAGCATCTCCGGTGGGGCTGCTGCTGCCCTCAGGGAACAGCTTGGGGTGGGACAACACAACAGCACTAATTAAATTCACCCCTCTCACCCTGGACCTCTAGCAGGTCGTGGTTATGGCATAAACCAGGAAATTCGTCTTCAACAGCACTAATTAAATTCACCCCTCTCACCCTGGACCTCTAGCAGGTCGTGGTTATGGCATAAACCAGGAAATTCGTCTTGCTTGCACAGGATATAAATTTTTCAGCCAAATTCGGAAAGGAGGTTGAGTTTTCACTGGGAACAGATGGCAGGCAGACCTCTCTTCTAGAATTAAATGTTTGTATCTGATGAAGTGAACAGACGAGTGAAAGGAGAGTCCATGGAAGATGTAAAGATGCATAACTTTGCTATAGCATTGCTTCAGGGAGTTACTGAGATAAAGTCAGGAGCGGTTGGTGCCACAGCTGCAAAAGTTGCGTTTGGCCCTTGCTCACAGGTATCGATGTGCTCGGGCAAACCACATGGCCATGGGGCTTGGTCTATAGCTAGAGAGACTGTTGAGGAAGAGAAAATAGTGAATAAAAAGCTCCTGACGTGCTCAGCAACTGCCTGCAACTCTATCTGTCCTTTAATCCCTTTGGGAAGCAACGGTCTGGTTTCATATGGACTAGTTTTATGAGTACTTGGGTTATTTATTTAATCTTTGCCCAGCACTCAGCTCAACACTGATGTTTCTGCTGCCTTAACACAGGTTACCCCTCGTCCTTACCCCCGTCCCGCGGCCGGCCGTGGCTTTGCAGCCCGCGCAAAGGTGGCTTACTGGAAGGGTGGAGGTAGACGATGTCCTTCACGGTGAAGTCCCTGGGCTGAGTTTTATGAGTACTTGGGTTATTTATTTAATCTTTGCCCAGCACTCAGCTCAACACTGATGTTTCTGCTGCCTTAACACAGGTTACCCCTCGTCCTTACCCCCGTCCCGCGGCCGGCCGTGGCTTTGCAGCCCGCGCAAAGGTGGCTTACTGGAAGGGTGGAGGTAGACGATGTCCTTCACGGTGAAGTCCCTGGGCTGCCCGGCGGGCAGGCAGCCGGCCAGCAGGCTGAGCAGCAGCACCCATGCCGGCGTGGGCTGCGAGGCCATCGCAGGGCGAAGCCGTACTCATGCGGTAGCCGAAAACCCTCACCTGGGCAATAGCAGAGAACAGGGGTGAGCAGAGCAAACCCACGAGGAGCCCAGCCACCACCGCAGCCCCCACCAACCCAACCTCACCAGAATGGTGATGCTCCTAGGAGCCTTCAGCTGCCCTCCCGGAGGGGCAGGCAGCGGTGTCGTTACTTTGGCTCGGCTTCGGTGACATCCCTGGCACTGCCTGGGAAAAGGACTCGGGCAAACCCTCTCCCGGCCAGAGAACTGCAAACAGGAGCTGAGGGGAAGGGCGGTTGGGTTTGTCATAGTTTACAATTTAACCAGTCGGCAACTGGTTTTCAAAAACCTCAGTAGGACATTGGTAAAGTCATCAGAGACTGCACTGCGATGGGATTTAACTGCTTCTTTTAGAGAATACTGGAAAATTACAGAATTAGACCAGGAAGAAAAGCAACGGGGTAGCTGGAGACCCATCGGGATGCCCGGGGGGGCAGCGATAGGTCTTCCACACCCACACTCCAACACAGGCTCACATCCTTCTAAAATGCACCTTTTCAGCAAACCAGAACCTCCACTTTACTTTCCACATATCTCAGGAAAGTCGAGGAGCTCCAGCTGCTGCAGGTTGTCTCTAACTTCACCTGGCTGCTGTTAATAACATAAAGTGATTATTGTGTTTCCCTCATCTGTGCTCCAAAGGGTCTTATTCCCTCTGTGACAAACGATACAGAGTATTTTTCCCACATCCCTGAATGAAGACAACTAATTTAAGCAGAAACAAATACCGTCTGCGGTACCACTCGTGAAGCCATCCCAAAAAACAGCAGCTTTCAGAAGCATCTCAATCCCCACACCCAGGCTGTGGGGAGCCCTCCAGGAACAGACAATTCTAAGGCATCGTTAAATACACAGCTCATATTATTACGGTTCCTTAAAAAATGATGAAAACGTGCCACAGAAACCAAGCGGGACAGGAAAGCCCCGAGAGGACGTGGCTGACGAGCCAGGCAGGAGCCACCGGTTTCCCGTGGCCGCTGGCATCCATCCATCACACGCAGGGTTGGGGGTTTTTTTCCCACTCAGACTGACCAAGAGATCTGCAATACGCAGCTATTTCCTGAGCAACTTTCAAAGTGTGGTAGCTATTATTTAATAAACCAATTTTTTGGGTTTTGGTTTTTTGGTTTGTTTTTTTCAGGAAAGATGTTCCAGGGGCAGGGATGTAACCTTCCACCTCTGCCTCCAAATGTTTGTCTTGCAGCAGAGACCCACACAAGACCAGCAGCACGATGGCCGTCGGGGGGGCTGTCGTTATCCTTGGCTCTTATCTGAAAACAGCCCTTTTATTAAAGCACCGTGAAATCCATAAAAATAGTGAGGGAAACAGATAACACATAGTGTGGTGCATTAAGCTTTGTTGTTTTAACCTTACGAAGGGGAAAATGCCAATTTCCATTAGGTTTACTCCACAGATGCGTATCAGCCAGGGGAAAATGAAATCCTGATTAGAAGCAGAAAGGAAATAAAACAAACCTCTCCCAGCCACGTGGAAGATGAAAGAAATGGGACCAGCGGCTCTCTGTGGGGTCTGGAGGAAGAGCCCCCAGCAAAGCCAGCTGGAGCCCACCTTGGCAAGGGAGCGGGGCACGTGCGTGGATTCGGGACTATTCACATCTTGGCGTTCCTCGTGGCTAAATGCGCATGGACCTGGAACTGAGCCGGCCAAACACCGATGCTGTCCTGGTGGTCCTGAGCTGCGGACAACGGGAGCCATCAGCTGCACAAGCGACGGCACCAGGTAGACACGCTCCAGTCGGGGAACGTTTGCTTTCGGGGCACGTATCTGTGCGCAACACAAGTCACACGCGACGCTCAGCACGAGGAAACGAGATGTGTTTGGACTCCAGAGCTGAGTCTCTCCCTTCCTACCCTTCCCTTCCTAACCAAGAGGAGACCTGTCTGTCACCGCACGCGTGCCGGCCTCTCTGCTCACTGCTTGACCAGAGCCACTCAACGGCAACTGGGTTTCACACCTGGAAATTGCTTAATATTCATACTGTTAAGATAATGAAGGTTTGGAGGAGAGAGGGATTTTGGGATTTTGGGGTTTTTTTATCCCAAACAAAACAAGGCAGATTTTACAAGCCCCATTATTCATTTCAGGAAATCAGCAGTTTGCAGTGAAACTCTTTGTCAGCTCACAGTCTCAGCAGCAATCCTGTGTTATAGCACAAAAAAAATCAGGATCCCCATCCCAAAGGGAGGAGCTTCTCATAGCTCAACACAAAGTCTCAGCAGCAACCTGTGATGAACATATGTTATCAACATAAAGGACAAATAGCAATATTTTAAGTTAAAACACAGCAAGATTAAAATAGCGGCAAGAATTCCTCCCAAGTGTAATAAGAAATTAATTTGCTGGGTTTTCTCATCATAATCACAAAAAGCACTTGTATTTACAGTACTGATCAAAGTCTTCCAGCTGAGGACACCAGTTTTCCCTCTGTCATACACGCTCCCTTTTATGGGACCAATTGCTTATTCAGCCCTTCTCCAAACGCCGTGCGGAGCTGTTAGTATTTGCCTCACTGTCAGATTCAGAAGACAAGTGGCTGTCAGTCCTGCCTGAAAGGGTGGCAGAAATCCTCCAGCTGCACGCTAAAAATACTCACATCGTGCCTCTTGCAATTACCCGTAGCTTCATTGCCAACACCACTTCTAATGGGTTGCAAGAATCACAAATGAGTATGTAGAATTCACTTCCCCACCTCTATTTTCTATGTTTGAAACAGATTTAATTATAGGTAAGGAATTAAAATTAAAAAACCCCTCTGTGTTACAAAACAATCCTGAGCAGACCAGAGCAAGGCCAGCCTGGCCGCTGCTTTGAACTATGGCAGTTACTGAAGTAGAAAGTATTTATTGATCAAAGCACCTGTATCGTTACAGTCACTGCTCTTCACAGCAAGCATGTTCTACCTGGTCATTTCATACACGCATAGATAGTATAAAAATAGATACTTCTGCGTACCTACTGTCAGAAACCTGAATACTCAATATTTCACAAATATTTTGAGTACGTACACACGGGTACACATAGTTCTGTCATTCACAGGGGGAAAAAATACATGTACAAATACACTACATCCCGTTGAGAAAATATTCTTTGATGTTTGGGGTGATACTGATATTTCACAGAGTGGAATATCAAAAACTATTCTGAATAAAATCAGACATATTCAATAATTACTGTTCAGCACTAATTCTGTGACCACACTCATTCTCTCTGTTTTTACCCCCCACACATAAAAATAAAATGTAATCGCTTTTTTGTTTTTAAAGGAAGGAGAGAGAGAGAGAGAGATGGATGCACTGTCTTAAAACCTGCAGACGTTTGACAAAAAATTGGGTTTGGTTACACTATTTTTTCCCCCAAAATCATCCAAAAAGACATTTTTCTAAAAAGGTGGCTTCTCTTCACAAAGCCTGTAAGCCCTAAGAAGCTTCATCAAGGGCACGGAGACTTTTTCTGTCGCTCACAAGCCCCTTTTAGTTCATGGCGCTCAGCCAAAACCACCAAACGTTGTACAAAAATATTTTTTCAAACCGTGATTGCTGGCATATCAGCTACTACAGTGCTAAAGTGCTGCTCGCGGAACACGCTTGTTCTCTAGAGTACGGGCACGCATTTTTTCCTTCTGAATTAACTCGGCTCCTTTCCAGATGTAGTAACCTCTCGTGCATAGCAGCGTGCATGCACCAACCTAACAGAAAATGGCATGGCCCGCTCCGAGTTTGATACCGGATTGCGGTTAGGGGAAATAGTCACATGGTATTTAGATCATACAGTCTGTTTATAAAAGGTCTTGGGCGCTGACACAGAAATCCTACTTAACTCAATCTTTCCAGCTTCACCGGCACCTTTCAGACGGAAAGGCATCCCCATCCCCGCTCTGCAGCAGGATTACTTCTTCCTGCCCTTTGCCCTGACACGGCGCTATGGAAATTAACCATTAAATTCCCTAAGCAGCAGCCCAATTGCCCATTTGTCAGGTCTCATTAGGGTAGCAACATGTCCTCCTCGTTGGCACCAGGGACGGGGACAATGGAAGGTCCCCATCCTCCAAGGAAGGACCAGGGAGCCCTCGAGCAGAGGTGCTGCCACACGTCAGACCTCTGGTTCTGGGGGATACACGTTGTTAGACAGGACAGCTATTTGTGAGGCTGTATTTGTCCCTCCTGTCCCTCTCACAAGCTCAGTAGATACCTGCTAGCTGGTCTTCACTGATGGCCACAAGCTGGGCTGCTGCCAGCTGCAAGGTTGGAGCAAATGTTGCAGCATTTCAGGAGAAAAAAAAGGATGTCAGACACCAAATCTTCCCATACAACCATTTGGCCAAAGCCAGGCATGAAGGAATTCCTGGTTTGTGGGCATTTCTGTGGTTCTCCTCCTCGCGTGAGTACGGCACACGCTGCAGTGCTCAGTTCATCTCCCGCAGGAGATGAAGCATTGCCCTGCTCTCCCTGGACATCTGATGCAGATAGAGGTTGCCCGGTCTCACAGGAGGCTGATGCTTCTGCTGACATCTCATCTCCACCTTCCTCCTACATCTCCTCCTCGCTGTCTGGGCCACATCTCCAAATTTTATAGCTTACTATACCTCATTTCATCTTGAAGACATTTTCTCTTATCTCTTCACCTGGAAAAGCCTCCGCCTCAGAGTGCCCTGAAGCAACATTTCTTTCAGACAGATAAAATAGTAAAAGCAAATAGAAGCTCCCTCTCAGCAGGCAGTAGACATATCAACCCTGAAGTATCAAAGCACAGCATGCCAAAGCAGCAATATCTGTGAGAAACTGCAGAAACCACAGCACGAGTAATTTGCTCTTGCAAGTTACGCTGTGCAACGTCAGCTGGGCCATCCTTCGACTACGTTATGATGATTATTCATCAGTGATAAACCCAGTCAAAGGTGCTGCAACCAGCGTGGCAA